TGATGATGGTTTGGGTAGATAAGATATGGGACGTATCTACTCTTAGACTTTTAAGCAGCTTTCTCAAAATATTTACTCTAACATCCTTTAATACACTTACGACCTCATGCCTATGCCCATTCTCATTTTCTTTTAGCTATTCCACAAACTCAACCCAGGCTCGTGTTGTGGTAAAGGGAGGTAACTAACAGCATTATCCATTTTGATATTTCGATACAGCTTACCAAATTTTCCTACGACGTCTCCCACGAATGTAGAGCGAAAGTTATTTTTAGTCTTTCTCTCCCTTTTTCCCCCTTTTGAATGGCGATTTTTGTTGACTTTTTGGTTTTGGTGTAGAATCAAAGAAAAGGGTTTGCAAATACATTTTCTGCCAGGTTTTGGTGAATATTCATGATTTTGAGGCGGAAGGGTACAAGAGTTGAGAGGTTGGTTAGGTTGAAATGTAGGGCCGAAAATGTATCTCACGTTTTTTATGAAGAACCTCATACGTGTTTTCGGGCAAGAGGTTACCACATGTTGCTCCGTCTGTGGTAGAAAGCATTCTAACGAACAAAAATTTGGGAAAAAGATATAGAGTCAGTCTAAGAGACGAGAATTAACATTAAAGTCAGTGGGAAAAATCATTTGTGATTTGTGGCCAATTAGATATTTAGAGTTCACTTTGAGCGCTGAATATTTATTTTTTAGATATAAATCTGTTTATATTTTGCTGGATAGTTTTGTGCATTGCTGATCATAACTAATAAAACTATATAAGAAACGATCCCGGCACACATCTCTTTAGATGAGTCTATGATATTAAAACCTTAATAAAGATATATTGGTTATGGAAGACTAAAGTTGCCAATAGTCAATAAATAAAGATTAACTAGGCATAACTAAGTTGGCCTGTGTAACATCACTGTCTTATATCATTCTTAATGTACTTTTATGGGTAATATTACTTACTTATCCCAGCTTTATTACCTAGCTCTGTATAATTGTAGGAAGAGAAATAATGAAAAATCTTAGCTTAAAGGTTTTGTTTGAGTTCTTAATTCTACAATATTCTTTTAAATCTTGGCTCTCTTTTTTATTCTTTAGCTTCCATTGTCTTTAATGTCGTTTCAGCAAATGCCAGCCTATGGAATATTCTTGATTACATATAGGTAATAGGTTCATAAAACACACTAATTGCGGTTTCTGAGACACTTTAATTACATTACTAAAATCAAAGCATGTTACTTCCCGAAATTGACAGTCCGCCCACCCCCAACCTTTCAAAAAAGATAATGTTTTCTTTAGTTTTATATAACTTAGTTTTCAGAACACCCCGTTATAGAAAAATTATAGCCCGTTGATAATAGAAAAGTTGGCTTAAAGCACGGGTTGATTATTTGATCAATTAGTTAATAGAAAATGCATAATTACAGAACAATTTGTTTCTATATAGTATGCGCTGTTTATAGAACAATTAGTGTATAGTACAAGTTGATTATATTATATATACAGCACGTTGATTAATGTAACATTTAATATCTATATGGAATGGTTATTATAGTTCATAGTACTTGCTTATAGGCTTATAGTTAATTTACACGCTGTGTTTAGAACAATTAGTTAATAGCACTAAATCTATGGAATCATTTGACAGCCTTTCTTCAAGTTTTCTAATATGGTATCTCTCTCTCTCTCTCTCTCTCTCTCTGTTTCTCTCTCTCTCTCTCTCTCTCTCTCTCTATATATATATATACATATACACACGCACAATTGATTGCTCTTTCCTTTGTGCGAGTTGAATGCCAACACTGTCTGTAAAAATACCATACCCGTGTTATGTAATCAATTCTAATGTCTGCTGCTGGTGTACAGGTATTCGTTTTACCTGGATGTCAAGATTCTGACGGGATAAACATGCAGGGTAGATCACTCACCATGTATCACTTACAGTAATCAACTCTTTAAAGGTACATTATATGTGTGCTAAATCTGCCTATTGCAGGTCTTTTTGCAAGTTTCAAATGTTATATAAATGTTTATTAAACATAATTTATTCATATGACAAGCTCTAGATCATCGGGTGGCTTAGATATTGGGTGGATTATACAATATCTGTCAAATTTTCATTATACTTAGAAATGGAAGTCACTCACCGAGACGGCTGATTGAAGCGCTGGGAATCGAGAATTCGTTTATTACGGTGGTAATGGTACTTGACAACCGAGACAATTTAGACCATTGTTGTCAAAATTCCAAACATTTATAACCTCGCTCGGAATAAAGTAAATTGACTGATATTTTCCATATATTCAAGTTACATTATCTATATGTGAACTATTATAGCAAGGAGGGATCAGCTCTTTATTTAATTCTAATGCATCTTTAAATATTTAGCGCATGTTAAGTCAGCCATGTTATTACTAACCATTGTATCATTATTTTAAATAAAGTGATAATTGAATTCTTCAATTAATATTCTTAGTTCTCAATGTTTTCACTGAATTTTAAAAAAGTTATGAATTATTAAACGTTATGTAAAACAATTGTAAAGTATTCCATGTTGCTGGCTCGATACTTAATTATCAAGATTGTGTGTGTCATGACCTCATCTGACTAGTGCAGGTGCTGTCGACTATAAATTGTAAAATAATGTTTTGTGTAGTATTGATTTGTGTATATAGTTGTATAATTATTTTTTGGTAAATCGTTGTTCACAGACGTATAGAAACCAAGTAAGGTAATATATATATATATATATATATATATATATATATATATATATATATATATATATATATATATATATTTGAGCCATCTAGCAAACATGCCAACAATTTCTTTCTTTCTATTTCAGCTACCAGGTCAACTTGTCCCAACTCATAAGAGCTCAACTTGCCCCAAATTATACGAGCTCAACTTGCCCCAACTCCTACGAGCTCAACTGGCCGCCACTCCTACCAGCTCAACTCGTCCAAACTCCTACCAACTCACCTCATCCCAAATCCTACCAGCTCAACTCTTACCAGTTTAAATGGCCCCAACTCCCACCAGCTCAATTCCTCCGAACTCCTACCAGCTCAACTCGTTCCAACACCTACCAGCTCAACTCTTACCAGTTTAAATGGCCCCAACTCCCACCAGCTCAATTCCTCCGAACTCCTACTAGCTCAACTCGTTCCAACACCTACCAGCTCAACTCGCCCCAATTCCTATCAGCTCAACTTGCCCAACTCTTAATTCACCTCGTCAACTTGCTCCAATTCATACCTGCTCAGTTCACCCCAATTCCTTCTAACTAACTCGTCCCACCCGCTACGCGTTATACTCGTTCAAGACGAATTTGCAACGTTCGATTTCGTACGGATAATACATATTTCTCGGCTATTAATTGATTAGTCTCACTCTCAAACAAAAATTATCCGGAAGAAAAGTTCCATATAATAAATGTACTCTGGTATATTAACAATTATATGTGAAAACACACGGTTCATAGGATTTCTATAAAACCAGGCAATTAGAGATAGACAGCATACGTTGGTAATACATCATCACTATATTATTCTTATTTCTCGTCTTGCTATGAAATCATACAACCCATTAAAACATTATTTTCTACATTCTCTATCGACCATTAAAGCCCGTAATGGCTGCTGTCGGCGATATGCTTGCTGCCTTTAGTATTATTGGTCTAGAAATAGACACATTTGTATCGATGACGTCTTGTTTTTAAATGAACTTTAATGTTTCTGACTAGAACCGAACATCACCGTACCAAAACTAGGTAATGCTCTCATGGCCCTTTCTCCAGCAGACAATGAAATGGATCCGATTAAATTAATCCAGCCGGGTCCACAACTTTGTATCATTGCCCCAAAAAGTTCAGAGTTGGTTATGATAAAAACTTTAAATGTCCTGTATAGTAAGACTAAATCACGCAATGACCCACGTCATTAGATAGTGAGCTAAAAGGTGCAACAGATTGGGTACTTTGAGACAAGGCAACTGATGGTTAGAAAGTAATCGTCATGCAAACAAATTTTAATCTGCAACATAATATAGGGTTTTATTCATCTGCTACGTGTGTGATTCGTGGATAGATACCATATAATAAAACATGCCCATAAAGTTCAGTTTGAAGCCAATGAAAATGATATAAATATATTAGTTTGAACAATATTTTATTCAATAAACTGAATTGGATTGAACAACAGACAAAGGCCTATATAAGTTCTCTCCAGTCATATAAAATAGTTAAATCTTATGTTTACAATACAATGGTGGACATATATTGCTCAGTGGAGAAATAGGAAGAACACCAAATCCGCCATGTTCTAACACCTTGGATATATATATGATAATTAGAATTTATATATTTAGAGCCATATATATATGATAATTAGAATTTATATATTTAGAGCCATGTATATAAGGTAACATGTGGTTATTGTGCCAAATATCCCCAAAGCACACTTAAGCTTGTTTAAGGGAGTTAATGGGTTTGTCGACGACCCAATCCATGGGTAGAAAAAAAAATCAGTATTTTTCAAGCCCCGTTCCCACTATAACCAGGAAAAGCGCCTGCGGGGCAGACAAGAAACGTGTGGCCTAATGGTTCGGATATTAGGAACAGTGACACGTGTGCGTAAAAGAACCCATTAACGAGTAGTCGGAAAGGATACTGTCCGCAAAAATTCTTTTCACTTTTCGTCAGATGCCGAAGCTGTTAAGTAGAATGATTTGTCATAGAAGAAAGGTTTAACCATATGGCAGTAATAAATGTTGTGTCTATATATCTATAATGTCTGTAAATACACGGGATATAGAATCTAGACAGATTTACATGCAGTATGTTGTTGGTTTATTACTCGTATTAATATAAAAGTCGTTAAACCAACCCAACCGAACAAAATATAAACAAAATTCACCACACAGGTTATAAACATATTTATTACACAGAAAACAAATTATAAACAAATACAACACCTGATAAAAAGGTGTATGAAATATTTTATCTTGATTCACCCAATGCTGAAATGATGTGTCATCAATATTACCGTCTACATTAACCCGGTCGTAATCCAAAAGAAGCAATCGTTATCATCTGTGGCTTGGCGGATATATTGCTCAAATTTTGTACAGTCTTCTAAATCCTGATGCATTTAAGTAGCACAGCAAAATACTCCCTCTCCTTTGCTACTGTTGTAAACAATACAATTTTATCTGTATAAAACCTGCAAATAAAAAAAGAAGTGGTATCGGGTATTCTAGAAAGAGTTATCATGGATGGGTTTTGAAAGCTGTAGTGACTGGAGAGACGGTAAACTCGGAGAAATGCTACCGACAGAGTTCACAGCTCAGCTGTTTTTAAACTACAAATTATATATATATATAAATTATAAATCAACCCAAGCTTTAGATCTATAAACAAAATATAGCCTCGGGAAAATGGCCACCGGCAGAGTCAATGTCTAAACTCAAGCGCTATACATATAAACAATATACACCATGCAAATAACAAACAGATGGGGTTTAAACCATTGTGTATATTTATTGTGCTCTGCTTAGCAAGTTGTTGTCATTTCTCAACCAAACAATCACATGCTTGAAATAAATTGTATGTGACATGTTTCTTAAAACAACGGTAACATAAAATATAAACTTATATAATATAAACAATATATAACATAAAAAAATAAACAGATGGAAGTTGTGAAATACATGTTCCGTGTGTTTATTTGTGTTCTGCTTAACAAGTTTATATTATATTAACATTTCACGCGTTGACAAAAACAATCAGACACTACTATATTATAGATAAATTGTATGTGTTATGTCATTAACAAAATATTATAAACTTATATATATAGAGAGAGAAATAAATATGTAGCGTATGCAAATTGTGTGCATGATTTTTTTTATTCAGTTATGCAGTAATGTGTGCGTAGGCAGTTTGGGAAAGGGGAGATAACTCCATTTAAATAACACAATTTTTAAGAGACACTGTTGACCCATGAGCAAAATCAAATCGACAGTTTTGATAAATCCTAGAACTATAATCCTAGAAAACATCTAAGAATAAATAGGTAAACGACATGTTGTAGCGATGGGGTATGCAGTTTCGATAACCTCAAGCAATAATATTATGTGAATTTTCGCCCCCCCCCCCCCAGCGATTAGTATTTTAACATTATTATATTAACGTGGCATTTATGTCCTTTAAATTCTTATCTTTTATCATACAAATTCTATTAGTGGCTTGTAGACTTTTAACTAATTTGCAACGATTAGTAGAAGTTACACAAATGTCATTTTCGATAGTGTTTAGTTTGTGCTACACATCAAAGGTTTACAAATTCCGCACAAGGTCAGAAATCACGTTTGGCATATAACAGATAATCACGCCCGGTGATTCTTCAACCAACTTGATGGGTGTGCCGTTTGTTATTTAGAGAAGAAACGATCAATTTTGAACTTAGACTTCAACCTACGAAAATGACTCACACAGAGCTTGGTGAAATTTCATATTCTAATGGAATTTCCTATACATAAAGTCTTACTCCAAATATGTAAATAGTAAAATCATTAGTCTTATAACATCGGAACAAAAAATAATCTTTTGTAATAAAAATATTATCTACATGATTACAGCAACAACATAAACGCTTTTTTGTCAAAGCTACGTATTAAAATTTCTTCAAAGGCATTCTTAACAGGATTCATTTTATCCTTTGTTTCTAAGTGTGAAGCTTATTTTTCGATTTTATTCTACAATTACCTATTACACAATAAATCTTTTTTTGCAAAACACATGTGCTTTTTGTAAATGTTTTACAATATATAGTCTATGTTTATACCCCGGTATTTATACTGGATACCACTGATACCAGATATCATAATCTATTTACAAACTAATTCCTGAGCAAAGATTCTTGACGGAGTCTTAAAGATGATAAAAGATTTTTCTAGTAATTTCATCTATTAGTAGTGGGATAAAACTTTTATATAAATGAAGACTTTCGATGCGTAGAAATACAAAAAAAGGTTATTAAAACAACTAGATCGATGTTAACAATATCAGTTTACTTTCACATGATGTTTGTAGAGAACGCACACTATGAAATCATATTCAAATGTGTTCGTGTTTAATGAACAAAGGGGAGCAATCCTAATGTTGTATGTCAAGGACTTAGACAGCAGCCCAAAAAGAAATAGAGAGAGATGGGGTTTAACGTCAACTCGTCACAAACTAGGCTATTTCGCTATGGTTCATCTTTATTTCAATAATTCGCTTGCGCGTAGGGGTCTTAAGCAGTCAGAGTAAACTGGAGAACCCGTAGTAAACTCCTACTCCTTGTCACGTACAAGCGGAGAATCGAAACCAAGCCACTTAACTCAATGGCGGAGTTTATGATGTCACAGCTTATGATGCCGGACAGTGGCGAGTCATCCCACTCTTTTTCGAATTGTAACTGTCAACGGTTTCTTTAGGTTTTCACTTATACGGAGGGACCTCGGTTTTGTGTCCAATCCGAACGACTAGATAAAACTCTACTTTCCCTAGCTGACATGTGGGAAGAGGGATTGAACGAATCTCGAGATTTAGTTATTTTAATCTACTGTAACTTCATTTTGTAATATTCGCTCCACCTTACACAAGATGTTTCCGCCGTTTAGACGGAAAGACAGTGACTTTAAAACAACTTCAAAACAAATAGTATTTGAACAAGAAATTCAACAATTAATGATTATTGATTTATAATAGAGACAACCTACAACGCTTGGTAACACAGTTTTATACGGGTTCTGATGATCCCGGGTATTCCAAAAACATATTTATAATTATCCAACACTTTAATTTGGTTTAATTCTATTAGCTTGATTTTTCCATGAGAAACGTATGATAATGTGTACCGGACAGGGTAAACAAGCTCTGTGTCGTCTCAATCTAATTAAATCATCTATATGTTTGTAAACATGGTTATATTAACCACGAGTGACCGTAAACGTATTTATATGGTTAAGATTTTCATGAAGTGGTTCAATAAATCAATGTCATTTACATTTATATTAGTCGGATGTCTACACTGAAATGACAAAAATACTATCAACATCTTCCAAACGTTACGTATGATAATGGAAGGTGGGGGGGGGGGCTCAAAACTATAGCACAAGGCTCAATGTTGTCATGTGGTAATCATTCATCTAAATGATTATGTTAATGATGTCCGCTGAAATTACTTGCATTAATCACAGCGACGGTATTCAGGTGACGATGCTATTCAATAAATAATGAGACTAATGAATTCTAAAATCAATGGTACACCCAGGTTACGATGATGACGGAGATGATATACAATAGATAGTGTAAATAACGTAAACTAAAAAATATCAATGACTGTGATAATGACGGTAAATGATGTAGATGTACTCAGGTGACGATGATGACGGAGATGTTATACAGAAGACAGCGTAAATATCTTAAACTAAAAAATACCAATAACGATGATAATGACAGTAAATGATAATACCCGGGTGGCGATGATAGTGACAGTGCAAACAACATAAACTAAAAAATATCACTGACGGTGATAATGGCAGTAAATGATATACTCAGATGACGATGATGATGACGATGACATATAATAGAAATAAAATGTAAATAACTTAAGCTAAAAATTATCAATGACAGTAAATGATGTACTCAGGTGACGATGATCATGATGATGATATACAATAGAAATGCAATGTAAATAACTTAAACCCAAAATAATAACCAGCTGTTATGGAGAGAGCTAGCTAAAAAAATGCGACATTTTGTACAATCAGGGGCCACAATCCAGGAAGTTACCGTCCGATATATTTTAAGACTGGATAAAAATTGTGACTTCTAGAGGATCCACAAGGGTATCATATATTTTTATACAATTTGCGTACAATTTCAGTAGCAGCCATTTTGTCGGACAGTTTCGCCCCGATTTTCACGAAATTCGAACTCAACCATCATTAGGGTGTAAGGGTGGTAACCATAACAACTTTCTTAGAGTATGTTAGTCTTACAATGCCAAACCAGTATTCTGACGAGACGTTAAACGCTATCAAATCACAAATTTTACTTATAATTACAATCACAGAGAAATGCAAGATGTCGATACAAATCAGATTCCACATTTTCTGTTCTTTATACGATTTCTTCAATTACCTTTGTATGAATTATTCATTGTATTGGCTTCCTCGAATCTCATCCATATTAAACTGGCTGAAAATACAAACCACAATTATTGGCTTCGCTGTTTATTTAAATGGACTGTGCCCAATTGCAAAAATCTCGACTATAAGGGATAACACGAACAGAGACCAAATTGTTCAAATATATAATCCAATTTCAGCTTTAATATTCAAGGTCCAAACCACATAAAAATTGTAAATATGCCCTACGGACCGTCTATAAATGACCACACCCTCCCCCTACTTTGCTACAGAGAAAACCGAATTGGTTTAGTATAGGTATTATAGTCATGGTGGCTCAGTGAGTATAGCACTGGCTCACTAACAGGGTGATACGGTGTTCGATCGCAGTACAATCTGATTAAAATACAGATCTATATTTCGTTTCGTTTTTTTATATTTTCGATGGCCTACACTACATGAAGTAAAGACAAGTAAAACGAATTTTTGAACTATAAAAACGAAACGAAAAAGGATCTGTGTTTTAACCAGATTGGATCCCAGTATTGGACGAGAAAACTCCCGGGGATTTTCTATCGTGGCATTCCCAAGACAGAAGTGTACGACGGTTGGGGTGCACGTAAAAGAACCTTTGCCGGTTGGAATTCGATATAAGCGTAGTTTGTGAAGTAGCTGTTCCGGGCAAATTTTCTTTCATATAGCACACTGCATGACGTATGCCCGTCTTTGTATAGCTCGGTTGGTGCAGAAAAGTAGGACGCTAAACCCGATTTCATCTTATTCATTGAGTGGAATCGTGGGATGCCAAAGTTCGAAACATCAATATAGTATCGATCTTACATCATGATGCAACGACCCTTTAACTCAATTTCACATAAAACCACCAGATGTGATTGATCCTTAAACTAATAGCTGTAAGACATCAGCATATCTTGGACGAGTGTTTTGTTTCACTCAGTTACAGATTTGCATTGCTAGTGTCAGTAGTAGTGTGACAGTTGAGTAAATCCATTGTTACTTACAATGACTAGAGATATATATATTTATACTTGTCAAAGCATTTTATCTTAGCTGGTGTTTGATGCAGACTTAGAATTCTGTATTTACATTAAATAATCTGTGGTTTTGACAGTTGACATTTTTGATCTCGGAGTTAAATATCTTATACTCCTACTGGAACCAGATGATTTGGATATTCTTATTGTAAGTTTTCAGTTTTATAAGTGATTGATTGGCATGTATTATTAACAATCAGGGATTTGCGATCAGGACTGATCGTATTTTCATCTTGGAATTCAACCAACATTTATGTGATGAAAAATTCAAGATTAGATTTCAAGCGTGATCAGAAGTAAATAAGCAAAAGCTGAAATTAAAACGAATCCGATTCCGGATCATGTAAAGTCATTGTTGATTAAGCCAAGAAGCTAGGTATTATATGTCAGCGTGGACAGATCTTAGATAACGGAATAGTTCAGAGTTTTATCTTATCAATAGTTGTATAGCTATATGATATATACCTAATGTGAATAGAACGTGTACTGTGGAGATTGACCTTTTTTGACTTTCCTTAACATGTAAGTATGATACTATTTATAAGTTTATGGACTAGCTAGCGTTGTAAGTTACAATATCTTTATAGGGACATATAGCCAGGTCCTGGCTTAAGAGGCTACATAATATGAAAATGTGGGTGTGTTAAATATACGTGTGACCTTTCTTGTAAAGCCATTGTTTTAAGGGAAAAGTGTCGAACGACTTTGTTTACGCAATTGAAAAGTGTCAAATTTCTGTTCTTTGAAAACAGATTTTTAACCTAAACTCCTGTTTTCCGCAGGAACAAATATAAACTGGTTCTGGCTGTCACAAGAAAGGGTACTGGTTATCAGTTGGATGTCTTTCGTATTTTTATTTGAAGTCCACCTTACTTTAGCGAATTACTAACCTAAATGTCAGTTGGAGCAAAAACTATTTATATTAAAATGGCGACAACATAATAGTTTTTAATATTATTGTCATTATAAATTTTGAGTGTACACACCATAATTTCACCTGTTTTAGCTAGTCCAAAATGCCGGTTGTCGACATACCGGATGCCTCTGGTAAACATCTCAGATTGCTCGAATTCAATGGTAAACTTTACCCAAACTTTCCAGCAGAAGTAATTACCAACATTAAATCGTTAAAACTACGTGAAGATGACGTCATTATTTCAGCCTACCCTAAATCAGGTTAGTTGTTGTGCTTATATAGCACAAATCTAGCTAGCTATAAGCTAAGAAAAGGGAAAAGGTTAGAATTAGTATGATAATCAATGAAGAAATCAATGGTGACTTGGGGGCATATATGAATAGGATGTCTGACTGTAACAATTCAAATATTATCTCAGTCTTCCGGTATGTTCAATATTTATACAATGTGAGATATTTTGTCCAGATCCAGATCCATATCCATTGTGGACAAAGCTAACACAATTAACGAATCCAATATAGTATACGTGTGACAAAGATAGGGTGAAAGACATTGTCTGACGATTACTAATCTGCGGTCCTAAAATCCTGACCGCTTAACATTCATACAGCCCTGCCCGCTCAACATTCATACAACCCTGTCCACCTAACAGTGGTATAAAACGGCCCGCTTTACAATCTGACAGCCGCATATGCTCTCTGCTTTAATTTCGAATCAATTTGAAAAAAAGGAAATTGACCCCATGAAATATTGCTGGCGATGTTTGAACAGTATCTAATCATTGTATACGTTGTTTGTACTCTCCTGTGAATATTGACAAGTTCCACAAATGTCGGTAACACACAAATGGACTCAATGCATTTTCAGGAACACATTGGTTGTTTGAAATATGTCGAATGTTGCTGGCAGGCCGAACTGATTTAGAAGTCATTTCTAAAGTCGACTTTATGATTGAATTGATGGAACAGGATATATTAGATCAGGCCAAATCACCACGTGTTCTGAACAGTCATGTTGCTTTCAGCGACTTGCCAACTGATCTGGCTGTGAAGAAACCCAAGATAATCTATATTAGAAGAAACCCGAAGGATGTTGCCGTCTCGTTCTACAACCATTGTTACCGAATATCCGAGTTATATGACTACAGAGGCGAATTCAAGGATTTTATTGAATTATTTATAAACGGAAAAGGTACGAATATTTTTATGATTGACACAAAAACAGAGAACAAACAAAAAACACGATATCATAATTATGAATATTCTGAAATAGAGATGGGAAAATTATGTTTAATGTCCTCTCATAATAGCCAAATTAATTCTGATCTTACAAGTCGTTAACTTTATTTCATGATGTATTCATTTGGTATGAGCTCCATGATATGTCTTCCGTAGGGTGAACAGAGATAACAGTCTAGTTAATCAGGAGGTATAGACCAGTTCATCAATACCTATTTGAGGATTAAATAATAGCTAAAACGACAAATGTACTAGTATATGTTCCTTCCCCTAAATTGTAAACATTTATTGTTGAAGCCGGAGCTAATTTTTTAGGATTAGATTGTGGAGACTAAATCACCATTCTAGCAGCTTATTAGTTCCGAATCTTTGAACTCAATCTCAGTACCCCTTGCGTTTGGCCATGAGTTCAGTTAAAAAATTATAGCACTATATTATATTTTACTAAATGCTTATAAACTTGGTAGTAATACTTGGTAGCAATAAAGTTACAATATCATTAGATTTAAGAGTATTATTTTGTTTACAGTTGAGTACAATTGTTGGTATAAACAGGTTTTAGATTGGGAGAAAGTCATTGATAACAACATGGAGTATTCTATATTACATTTAACATATGAAGATCTTAAAGCGGTAATATTCAATTCTTATTTTATAAAGTATCTTCACGCTAACATCACACTGCCTTTCTTCAATTGTTAATCTTAAAGTGGTGATATGCTTTACATGAACCTTCTACGCTGACACAATGTAAGTATTACAGTGGAATATGGCTTAATGTCTAACTTTTCTGCACATGGCAGGTTAAGTTTTTGCACTAAATATGTGTACGTAACGGTGGTTTCCTATCCTGTAGCCTGATCCTGTAACATACCCATGTTCTAGTTTTTATCAATCTAATAAGGGTCGTTCGATTTTTATGATATAGTTTCTTTGAAACTGGTGTTCAACTTAGATAAACTGATCAATCAAATTGCTGGAATAAGTATACAGAGCTGAGCTTGGTGGAGAAGTTATGTAGTCATCATTAGAAAACTTGGTAATTGTGGTGCGATATCAGTGGAATTTGTATTACTAGGTTTCTAGTCTTTGGGGTGGCGAAAGTCTCTGGGGAATAATAAAAGGTATTGGAAAATTGGTCTCAGAAAGCGAGGATGGCTACTATTTTGAGTAAAGTATGATAATCTTCCCAACTCATTTTCAACAATTGCTTTTTTTCTTGCCCATGAGCACGACATGAGATCTAAGGTTATTATTTTCTGTTTACAATATAATGTTAATTAAAACAAATAAGCGAAACGAAACTGTAATGCTATTTCTGTTACCCTGTTCAATACTTCATGCCTGCGTCTCATTTATTGTCTATATATAGTATATATATACATGACCGCAATTTAAATATTGCGGAACTAGTAGGTATCCTTTTTGTCGCCAGATATTATACCACTTAATATAAAAAATATACAATAATTTCCTCTGTTTATAATTGCAGGATCCAATAGTAGAAATCAGAAAAATATCAGATTTTTTACAAGTTAAAAGAAATGAAGAATTAATCGAAGAAATATGTGGTCTGTGCTCCTTCTCTAAAATGGAGAAAAGAAAGGGCCATATTCTCGCTGATGAAAATGGCAAATCTAAAATATATAGAAAGGGTGGGTAAATTGATTGTATTTGATACAAAAAAAATTATGACAATACAGCACTGAAGAAACCCCTTACTCTCCGTGTGTTTTTTGAATGAAGAGTAACGGAGAGCGTCAATCGGCATTCCTGGATAGTTCCAGTCTAATTAGATATATACTGACGGAAGTGTTTAACCACACAGTAGGAGTGGGGCGACCGCGTATCTGCGTTACGTAACGTCAGGTGGGGAGACACCACTGTCTGCTAGTCATTTTATAATGTTTTGCTTATTTCCCCGAAAATCAATACACCAATTCGAACATTCTAAAACGTGTGCTCATTATACAACTGTCTATGTTCTTCTATATTACAGGTGAAGTGGGTGATTGGAAAAACTGGTTTACGGTAGCACAAAGTGAAAGATTTGATCGAATCTATCGGGAGAGAATGGTCGGATCAAAATTAAAATTTAGATATTCTTTAGAGGACGAGGATTGCACAAAATGATTAAGACAGACAACATTCCTCGTGTAATGACTACAAATGACACCGACAAATCGGCACATTTAAGACCCAGTTGTTCCCCTTTAACCACAGAATTGGTTCAATAAATTACTGCTTCGGCGGGGTTTTGTTATATTTAATGATATCTAAATGAATTGAAATGGGGTTTAACGTCCTACAGCCTACTATTTTATCAAATTCCAACTTTTACGTGCACGCTAGTTGGTACAGAGGACCTCGCTTTTCGTCGCATCCGAATAACGATACAGCTGTCCTTGTCAGGCCCTCCACCCTACACCACTATCAAGGGGAAACCACGCTGGAAAATCCCGATGAACTCTCTCGGCCAACACTGGGAGAGAACCCGTGAAATCCAGACTAACGAGCCAGCGTCTTACTCACGTAGCCACCATGGCTCCAATATTTAATTAAATCGGGGTTTAACGTCTTACTTTTCTGCACCAGTAGGACTAATGAAGACGGACATATGTCACGCAGTGTTCAATAAGGAAAATTGTGCACAGCATGTACACGCTGACCGAAAACTAATGACAGCTAGCTCCATTTATTCGCAGGTAGGGTGGAACTTTTTCGACCAACCCCGTGGTCTCTAATGTCTGTTTCTTAGTCGTTTAACAAAGCAAAGTCATTCATATCAACAAACTCAGTACCGTATCAATTTCTTGCCATTTCGAACCAGTGAAAATAAGAATTAAATGTTAAATATAGCAGAAACAACAACTTAAAAGAGTATGTCCTGTACATGTTAAGAAAGTCAAAATGTGGAAGAAAAGATAGCGGGAAATATTAAAATTTGAGTAAGTTCTTCTTTATTGCTTAATAAACAATCCCATCGAGTTTTTAAAAAAATCCATAAAGAAATTTACTGTATAAATATTCTGAATTTCGAAAAGGTACTGCCCCAAGCTCAAATTAGGTTTATTTTAATCAGTATTAAATAATTCTACATCGAGCAACACAAAAAAATGACAGGGCACAACTCCTCGATGCTTCAAAACGCTATGGTTTATTTCGAAAACATAGCTTACTCGGCAATGATACACCGAACCACTAGCATCTACAGCGACTGAACAAAATTAATTTAGCATTGGCTAGACAAATTCTCAGTTGCTCTCTTGATCTTTTAAATGCAAAGGCAACAAAATATAACCGGGTGTTTGGAAATTGGGTGAGTTAGAAATATGGATTTGATTAAAAATAAGATGAACGTTTCGTAAGTCGACGGGGTAGATTATTTAAAACATTGACTGTCCATTATGGTAATTGTTTGTATATCAACATAGTCGAAAATCAATAGGTGGGTTCCTTTCATTGGGCTAAGAACGTATTTCATAAAGATTATGTTATAATTGTGATCGCTAGAGTGGTAAGGACACATAATGAACGGGTTTGACCGCAATACTTGGGGGCTTTTAAAAACAGCCGAATCATTACAAAGTGGCACGAATGTTCTCCCGTATTATACACCTATTTGTTGCTCGTGATTTCTAAGAAATTATATTCGGTATGATTTATGGGTAATACCAGGAAGATATTCAAGTGAACCTGTATATCGCCGAGATATTAATGCAAATACTAGTGTTCTGAGGAGAAGGGAAATTACCTGTAAATTGTCACATTGAATAGCACAAAAAGGCAAGTTATCATGTCTCTTTGTCCAGAACACAAGACGGAGAACGAGTTATACTGTAAAGATTGTAACCGTACAATTTGTTATAATTGTATTAAAACTGGCCATCAAGGTCATACTTTTCGGAATGTTAAAGATGTGGAAAGCGAACTTAAAATAATTCTTAAACAACTGAAAGAAAGGGTTCAGACTAAAACAGCTTCTAACAATTCTATAGTGGATTCTATAAAAAACGAGATTTCAACACTCCATCAACAATCTGATGTAGAATGTGAAAAGATTGATCAAAGGGTAGAGAAGATGTGTCAAATTCTACAAGATGGAGGCGAAAAACTGAAACTGAAAATTAAGGATTCTAATTTGGAGCAAGTCACGATGATGACTAAGATGATTACAGACGCCGAAGAACAGTCGAGACAAATGGCGGAATTTGGCAAACAAGTAGGTGAGATGCTCAACACGGACCAGCTAGAAGAACTATTAAATAAGACCCCACAACTGAAAGAAGCCATCCGTGGCATTGATACAGATTTCGTTGTTACAGATAATGCATGTCCTCGCTTCCAAGATGCCGTTATAGATGTGGAAAATTTATACAAACAAATTGGACAAGTACACAAAAAGGACGACGACAGATTTGAATGCAGCTTCGATGTGGGTAACCAATACAAGTATGGGGAGACTACACGTCATGAAATTCAAGGTGTTTTGTGGACATTGGACTGTGCTCTTAAGATGCATAATGTACAGCAACAAGGTATGTGGAAAGTTGTGAATAACCAAAATGTTATCCTACGACTCGTGTCTCCAGATGTTTCCTGCAAGGCAAATTTTACACTTAAAATACTCAATACCAAGGACGATGCTAAATCTGTAACTGAAAAGTGTTCCCATGAATTTACCAATCGGTTTTCATTGCTGCATACTCCAAATCGAAGTGAGTATATATGGAAACCACAAGATCCTGACTATATCCTAAAGCCCGAGAATGGTTTTACTAACTCTGATAATAAAATCACTATACAAGTCATATTCTCATCTATTGAAATCACAAGTCATATCTACGAACAAAAATTCTAGATCTAATCATTATCTTCGAATAGTAATCTTAAAACTTTTAACCCAATTGTGGATTGGTTTCTTTATATACCGACGTCACATAGGCCTACTAGCTGTATAAAAGACTGTCCTATCTGTGAACAGTTTTAAATAAACCGGGCAAACTTTCTATTTATTTGATCATAATAGTCAAATACCGATTATTGTTTTCGCACGTATCGAATGCTAACAGTTATTGTTTTCGCAAGTTAACCATTATTGTTTTCGCAAGTTAACCATTATTGTTTTTGCACAATTAGCTTCAATATTGTTTGTAAACATTGATAACATTGAATTAAAATATTTAATATCAGTATAATAATATGGCGTATTGACAAAACTATATCTCCCCCCCACCCCCCTTGAAATAAAAAACATCATGTTCCATTTCAAGGGTTAGTCCATTCTTGTCTATATTTAGATTTCGGACCCGTTCAATGACATGGGTTTCTGTGGAAATGTACGGAGGCTCTTACGCAAATCGCAAAGAAAAACTATTCGCGATTCAGATTGACCCATCAATGACTATGAACACACGAAAGCTACCCTTCGAGATGGTTTATATTCGCATACGCCCAATATCAGCAATACCAGCCGAACTAAATTAATCCTTGGTTGCTTTCATATTTCTCTAAATTTAAAGGTAACAAAAATATGTTAGTTTTAGTGCTTCAAAGAGTTGTCATTAAATATGGTTAAAATTTAAAATGAAAGTTTCGTAAATTAAGGCCAGTAACTTCCGTAAATCGTTAAAAATTAACAGGCCCCTTTCTTTTGTCTGACAGCAGGGAAGTAACTTTAGGAGTAACATTCAGAAATTGTCCAACGTCCACAGAAGTCGCCATTTAAACAAATCTATGAAATGTATCAAGGATAATTGTCACTGTAGAGTGTCAGCTGAAAATCAATAGGCGTGTCCATTCCAATGAGGTGTACTTATTTCATAACGATTCATCGTCCTCAGCGAGTTAATTATAGTGTGTAACATCGGATTAAAGGTCGGATATTGCAACGTGACGACCCGGATCTCCCCATTACCCTCTTATTTACGTAAGAGCAATAGCCAACAATCGGAAAACAGGAGAGAATAATACAAAGTTACCCCAATGCTCTTCCGTATTATAGACCTACTTTACAGTTCGTGATTTCCAAGAATTAGAATACATACTATTTATAGAGAATACGAGGAAATATTTCATACAATTGTTAAGTATTAATGATATAAAATAGCATGTGAAGATCTATGTCAGTGAGGGGCCCACGAAATAATTTAGTTGAATTGTTTATTGGTGTCGGGGCCTCAACGACATGACATGTCATGCATGCTAAAGAGATATTGTATTCACTATACACGATGGGGGATCGGGGGAACCTCCATCACCGAGGACGAAGAGAGGCTCTAGGCTATATCATGTACTGGCATGATACCCGGCTTCGCGCCAGGTCATGCTAGTTAATTTGATACCCACGTGGTAGTTGAGCGCGGCGACATAGTTTGATTCGATACCACATGGCCTAAAACATTCACGGTTCCAGGCTCGTTAATTCGATACCACATGTGGGGGTGGAGCTCGGCGACGAAGCGTGATGGGCGAACATACATACATACACACATACATCTTTGACTTTATTTATACAGATGAGCCCCCCCCGCCCCCCAACCTAAAGACTAAAGGAAGATAAAAGTCTGTTTTAAACGCAGTTGAACAACGTCAATGATGGTAACGGATGTTTACGGCTATAGTGCGTCCAAGAAAAGCTTCTGGCCGCGTCAAAAATGTTATACACCTTAACCGGAGACCCCACAGATCTTGGCTGCACTAGGGCCCTGGCACCAACAGTGGAAAAAGGGTATATCCTGGTCATTGTCACATTCACACAATTGCATTGTTGTGTGTGAGAATAGTAGATTGATAGATTTATTTGGCACAAAATTCGGCATATTATGTTACAATTCGTTTTTAGATCTAAAGGTCCTCTGCAAACTAGTCACTTCCCCCCCTCTTCCTGTGATTATATTTCAATAACACGAAAACATACGCAGTGAAGTGTGTTAACCCTTAAATATCTATTCTTATTATTTGCTAGTCTTTGTAATTCATCAAACATAATATGTATTACCTGTCTTAGATTGAGTTTGATTGATCAGTATCTAAATCTACATTACTTTATTTAACTTTGACACTTTTCGTATTTGAGAGCTTAACCTTATATTGTAATAAAACCAATAGAATGGTGGGTATCTTGGAGTTCAATCAACCTTATATTCATGAAGTGATGAATCGAGAATGAAATTAAAAACAATCTGAATCTGCATCGAACTCATTAATATATTGAATTATATTTTCTAATAAGATTTTCTTGCAAAGTCATCCAAACTGAAATGGGGACTAAGATATCCATTACAGTTTTAATGTATCTGATTTATACACGTTTCGTGGGATGTTGAGTATCTGATACATAACATAATATGATGTAATTTAATGTAAACCTATGGAACGCCATACATGCCTTTTGTGGCTATTTCTTGATGGTTATGTAAGATCAAATAATAAAGTGACCACACAGCACACATAATAAAAAGATCAAATGATAAAAAAGATCAAACAATAAAGTGATCACATAACAAAACAAAACCATAATAAAGTGACCACATACTAAAAAGTCCACATAATAAAGTAAACAGATAATACCTAAATCCGTCAATGCATTAAAGGCGCTCCATATGAAACCTTGATCGACGTCTATTAATTTGATCGACGTATAAATATTGCAACATTTGGCCGAGTTTGTTGTATATTGTGATAACAAACAGTGGTCACTTCAACAAGTAACCTATATCATTATAAGTAATTTGTTGCTGTGAAAGGGTGGATAAAATCACGAGAGGCAAGTAATTTTTGTTTTATTATAGTAGTAGCGAGTATCACACTTGAGGCAGCCACCGGGTATGTTTATTCTTTACAACATCTGTTATACTACGTGACATGATCGACTTCTACTTTAAATAGCATTTACTGCATCTATGTTAGTGTGTTGTATTGTGTATGTATAAGTATTAAAACATGTCTCCATTTAGTTACTTAACGATGTTGATTGTCGAGATATCCATTGCCCCACTATGTCACTAATTTGTAATTTTCCATGAGTTTTGACGAATGGCGGTTTTAATATCTATACAAATACATTTCATTTTAGTTAGTTCAAGATGTCGGTTGTCGAGATAACCGATGGCGCAGGTAAACACCTCAGATTGGTGGAATTTGATGGCAAACTTTATCCTAAATTTTCAATAGATGTAATTACCAACATGAAATCGTTAAAACTACGTGAAGATGATATCATTATTTCTGCCTACCCTAAATCAGGTAAGTTCTTAATTTATAGTTTTACCGACCTTGGGATGATATACCCATTGGTCCCCACATATGATATAATTGATTTGTTAGTAGTTTCTGAAATTTGAGTAAACTTACTACTCTGGTGCGAACACAGTGCACGTGTACAACATTAGTCCACATGCGATACGGAAGAGAAAATGGTAAAAGTTGCTTACTGAAATTTATGTCGGTGTGTAAGACAAATGTAAACCTACTTGCCTGCGGCCTTTGGTTAATTCACACACCGGTCCTTATATTGGGCTATATTTAATTCATACTACATATCTTCTCCAGGTGGTCTAATTTTTAGAGAAAAATCAAATAAGATCTAGCCGGTTTGTTATTACTTTTTAGCGAGTTAATCCGAGTACCAGTAGAACCACTTTCTTTTGTTTTCTTCGAATAAAATGACAGAAATGTTTTCTAAAATGACAACAACCCAACGAAAATTTAAGATCGGCCAAACAGACGAGATGAGAATAAGTCAAAATAAAATGGTGACCTTGGTTCATATTAGTTCACTTGTTTTGGGACTATTCGATTATAAAGTGCCTTATATTCGATCTTTTTCGTTAAAGAACAATGCCAACACTGTTGTCACAGTATATAAATGTGTATATATGCATATATTCTTGAGGTTGGCGAAAGCCTTTCACCATCAACTCATATCCTGCCATGGATCGTAAATTAAAGATGAAACTGAGTTTTCTTCAACGTCCGATAATAATAGAAGAATCGTCAGATTTTTGTGAATGGACAAAATAGTAAGACTGGGTTCTCCTGTATTGACACAGTCAGCCAAGAATTAAACTAGAATAGGTAAACAAACCCATCCGTTTAATCGTTCGAAACACACTGAATCAACAACCTTTTCTGCCCATAAATCAACAGGTTTATCGCTAATATTGCTGTGTCATAATCTAATCGGAGTCGCGGCGACTCAACACATCAAATCAACCCGTCCTTGGGTTTTTTAAACCCAAACCAACACGGTTTAATTAGTATTGCTGTCGCATTCGGATGTCAGTGGACAGACTATTGGATTATTTAAATGGCGATCGTGTTTTAATCTATTTAAATTTCTGTCACCCAATGGTCTAGAGAGTTGATTATAGGAATTGCCATGTGAATAAATGTATAAATAATACTTATATAACATTTGAAGCCGAAATAAAGACCTGCAATAGGCAAATTTTGGTCTTACCCAAGTACGAACAATTCAAGCCATTAGACAAAATTTGAAGTCCTAAAAAAACGGTATAGGCAAAATAGTGTAATCAGCAAATGGACTATTCACCCTGTACAAAATACACGACAAATAGTGGTGACAGATGTCCGGAAGAATAAAGTTTACCCTGCCTGTATATGCATCTTTAATCATTAGACCTTATCCCATAACTAATAGCACTTTTTAAACCTTAGTCAACATACCTTGGCTATTTCTGTTATCGCCAATATTCTTGTATTATAAATTAATCAGATAAACTCTTTGTATTTGTAGCCTATATCAACTAGACTTGCTGTATCATTCGGGTGTACATGGACAAACTATTGAATTACGAGTACTTGAGTTGTAGTTACAAGAAATGGATCACATTGCTCGTTCAGTAGATCAGAACCAACATATTTTAACACTGTTCATAATTTTTTAAATTGTCAAAACACCTGAAAACAAAATCCAAATCATCTCGTCATATATCTAATGTAGTACGTCTGGATTTTTTACTTCGACTTCGACGCGGTGTTCTCTTCCGTGCTCAAAGCGCAATAACTAGATAAGCTGTTAAACTTTACTACCGTAAAAAATAAAATTGTTATTCGTCATTATACACGTGAACAGTCATTGATTATTAGGTTATTCCCCCACGACACATGGAGTTATTAAGAAAAACACACAGTTAGTGACTGTTTAACACAACGATTCTCACAGAACATCTCCTGTAAGTCAGGTAAAAAAGCGAAATCCTATTACAAGTGTTGGTAGGAACAGTTGTTTTTCTTGGTGACCATGGGTAGATGTACCAGATACGGGCCGTTATTATGTAATGGTGGCATGTGTTGAGATACATTCTAATTCACCCCCCTTAGTTGTTAACTTGCCCTTGAGGTTGTTTCTGTGTTGCCACGGACGGTTGACACCAAAGGCAATACCACTTTATTGCCCTGCCGACACATGTCTTAAAGAGCAAACCATACACTGGTCCAAAGCCCCCACATTCCCAACATTTTTTTATTCAGGATTCGGAAGTCAAGCCAGGAATTCTGAGATTATATTTGAACCTTGGCAATGGGTACAACACTCTAGCCTACAAAATAAAACAAAGGTTTTTAGTATTCTTAACTACTTTAAAATCGCCCAGTTAATTAGTCATTAATGTAAGAATACCAAGTCCGGCAATATTTTCAAACAACTGTTTTGTCTTTTTGTTCGATGTTTCTTTCGGGTTTTGGGGATCACGGTGGCTAAGTGGGTAAGGCGCTGGCTCGCTAGCCTGAAGGTCGGGTGTTCGATCCCTGCATTGGCCGAGAAAGTTCATCCAGATTTTCCGGCGTGGTTCTCCCTTGTCAGTGATGCAGGACGGAGGGGCTGACAAGGACAGCTGTCTAGTCGTTCGGATGGGACGAAAAACCGAGGTCCCGTGTACACATTGGCGTGCACGTAAAAGATCCCTTGACAGACAGTTGGAATTCGATATAAGAGTAGACCGTAGTGCCGCTGTCCGGGCAAAATTTCCCTCATAGCACACTGTATGGCGTATGCCCGTCTTCATTAGCCCAGTTCGGAGCAAAACAGTAGGACGTTTAACCCCATTTCATTTCATTTCTTTCGGGTTTTGACTTGCATAGATTGACCCAAAACACATATTTTGAAAAAATCGAAAAAATATTGAGATGGCATGGGACAAGAATGACTTCAACTTTAATTCCACCAAGTTTCAGATTTTTAGGTGTTGATCTACCAGGTTCTACCTACTCGAAAATACGAGGCAATTTTCGAAGATTTGTTTCTGAAACCATATTCGAGGCCAAATTTCTGGGAATCTAGTGAAGACTGATGCGTTTTCATATGTGTCTTATAGTAAGTGCATGTAGTACTACCGGCAATCTCTGGATAGGCCAAATTTTTGGTCTATATCTATTACTTTGTAGTTCCTGGAGCACAGCAAAATCCAGAAAATATACAATTACACCAATTTTTTTCCGGTTTACATGGCCAAGTAGCATGCGAACCCTAACACAAAAAGTTCTTTAAGACTACCATGAGCTGTATATCATTACTACAAAGGTAAAAACAAGATCTGAAACTCGAATAAATTATTGATACATATTTTGTTTCCAAAATTTATCGGTAACTCATGAAACTCAAAAATGCCCGTATCTCAGTCAACTTTCAAGCTACAGACCACAAATTTTGCACAGTTTCTAGTTTTTACATGTACAATAAAATATAGTTTTTACAGAGGGGGTCATTTCCCAAATTTCGGAAAACTGTTTTAATCAAACATGAACAGGTTGGCTTAAAAACCTCGGCTTTAGCTCGCTTTGGACATGCGCAGTATGCAGTAAGTTACATTCCTGGGAAAATGGCGGTGCCATGCAGTGTCAGGGTATCGAAAGCGCGCAAGAACCGAATAAAGAAGATGGAGCTAATCATGCGTAGTTAACTCTAACCGAAGAGGTCAGAATAGTTAAACTGGTTTTGAGTACGTGTGAACGCAACACGATGCTGTTTTAAAAATCCCGGCAATTTTGAACTGGTTTAAAAATAAGCGTCTGAACGGTGTAGAACACTCGCTTTAACCGCGTTTATAACTCTCTTTTGTCGACAATCACGACTTATGTGACCGCGACGATAACCTATTCCACGCGTGCGGGGTTTTACATAAAACTGACATCCCACGGTTCATGTTCGCTGCAGTTCGGCTATTGTCGAGCATGCTGTCTCTCAACATGAACCTTTACATAATATTTAGTTCTTGTCGAGCCATCTGTCGCCAAGAATGTTTGCGGATATTCACGCAAAATTTTGTTTTATATATCTACAAGGAAATTAATTAATTGCCTGTCAAATTCCGGCTGTCCCGCATAACCTGGAAAACCTTCAGCGGATAATAATAAAAAAATTTCAGCAAAAAGTTGTACATTTTCCTCAGGATTTTGTCGGATCTTTCTCAATATCGCTTGCTGTGTATCAGTAATTTCCGAAAAAGTATTAAGAAAGCCAGGACTATCAATTCAGCACGATAAAATTCCCCAGCCTTCGTTTCAGATAGAATTTAGCGAAAACCAATAAAGAGATACATGTACTCACAGAATGGCTAAAACTATCTGTTCTGGATACGGCACCACGTATACAGCTGTAGTACTTCTGGATTTCTGACTTCAACTTCGACGTTGTGTTCTCCTCCGTGATAAAATCTGCTATCACAGTTCATGTTCTTTTTTCTAAATTTATTTCTTTAAGCGGATTAGAAGCAAATGTTAATCACAAATCTTGCTCGTGTGAGTTTAGCTGAATCTCATCCTGCACCCTAATTGCTTTACGGCATAGACTGACCACCGTACTAATTTCCAAATACGGAATAAATATCATCCAAACCCTACAGACCGGACCAAATACATTTCATCACTATTAGTATAGTTTCATAAACACGAGAGGATATTGTCAATATGAAAAGGACAGATGACTGGCGTGTTTATCAAATTAGCCCATTCTATGTATCAACATACATGTATAACTCATTTTAGTTTGCCTACGCAAGGACATTATTATTACACTAAGTGTGGTTTCATGCACGAATCGGGCCATGCTCACGACTCCTAGAACACGTAATACCACTTCTCTTTTGAGGAGTTCCCAGACTGATAATTTTTATATTTTCAGGAACACATTGGTTGTTTGAAATATGTCGAATGTTGCTGGCAGGTCGAACTGATTTACAAGCCATTTCTAAATCTGACTTTATGATTGAAGATGTGGGACAGGACGTTTTAGACCAAGCCAAATCCCCTCGTATTCTGAACAGTCATGTTGCCTTTAGTGACTTACCAACTGATCTGGCTGTGAAGAAACCCAAGATAATCTATATTAGAAGAAACCCGAAGGATCTTGCCGTCTCGTTCTATAACCATTGTTATAAAATATCAGTATATGACTATAAAGGAGAATTCAAGGATTTTATTGAATTATTTATAAACGGAACAGGTACGAATATTTTTTAAATACATGTAAACATACTATCTCATAATTATCAAAAGGGGAAGTGGTGTCACACTATTAGTTTAGAACAGCTTTAAAAATATACACTTTATTTACACCGGGAGCAATAACAATATAAATATATAAGCTTACGGGTACATATAATGTGCATAACTGCAAGCCGATACCATATGGGCATTGATTTTCGTCTTTATCAAATATAGAAACGTATCATACTGTGGTCTTATTAACGACACATTCTTGGCGTAGATGACCCAAATCTAGGATAAAGTTTAAAATGCTAATGTCTTTATAGGTTATCTGATAAAGTAACAAATAGTTAATAACATTCAAGCGTATACCTTTAAAGATACATACTTTATACCACTTAATATTACTAATAAGTGATCTATATCGGAAAATAATACAAATCGCTATTTTTAGAACGTCACTGTTGGTGACTGTTGAAGTCCAAAAGAAATTTGCAAACATTCCTAAGTTAAATATATATATATTGAATACAAAAAAGAAATCCAGATTAAGATACTGGAAAATGACTATATTGCTCCTTGTCTGGAACAAATCAAATGTTACTTTTGGACATAATCTTAATGCATCAATTTTAACACTAGGTAGTAACAGACTATCAAGTTACAATATTATTAGATTTAAGAGGTTTTTTTTGTTTACAGTTGAGTACAATTGTTGGTATAAACAGGTTTTAGATTGGGAGAAAGTCATTGATAACAACACGGAGTATTCTATATTACATTTAACATATGAAGATCTTAAAGCGGTAATATGCAATTCTTATTTTATAAAGCATATTACGTTAACATCACTCAGCCTCGGTTGGAGCAGAATAGTAGAATGTTAAACCCCACTTCATTTTTCAACCAAACTTTCTATCATGGATATCCACTTTATGCAAGCCCCACCCCACCCTTTAAAATATAAAGTATGCAGCATTAAATGTTTGTATCAAGCAATAGTTTCGTATAATTCTGATCAAATTATGTCCATGTTCTGATGCACTAATTCCAATGATTTTCTTTTAACTAGTAGTTAGTTGACCAATGAGTAGGTATACAGTGCTCCGTTGGTGGGAAGTTGTGTAAAGTTCTATGCGAATTTAAATTTAAAGACCCAAACGTATATAAATACACCAACATTGTTTTATACGTCCACATTTTCAAGTGGACGTACATTGTCGTCGCCCCTGTCCGCCCGGACGTCCGTCCACAATTTGTTTGTGGACACTCTACAGGTCACCATTCTTATCCGATTTTGACGAAACTTAAAATATAGGTTTATCTCTAACAGATCTCGGATCCTGTCGGTACTGGCATGTATCGGATCGAAACTTCATGAATTATGGCCCCAAATTGCAGGAAAACTAAATTTTTTTTTGCTTGTGGACACTCTGGAGGTCACACTTTTCATCTGATTTTGATGAAACTGGGAATGCATGTTTATAAACCAAAGACCTTGGCTCCTTTCGATATTTGCGCATATGGGATCGTAACTTCCTGAATTATGGTCCCTGATTGTACGATAAATCGCGTTTTTATCCGATGTAAAAAAACGTTAAAATATATCACCGTTATACCGTAATGCTGGTTAAGTTCGAATTTCGTGAAAATCGGACCGGACAAAATTGCAGCCTTCGTATGCAACTGCCCCACAAAATGGCCACCCCTCGTAATACCAAGGTTGTGGACCCTCTAGAAGTCACAATTTTTATCCTATTTTTATGAAACTTAAAATATATCTTTATATCCGAAATATCTCAGTCCATGGCGATATTCGCGCATTCTAGACCATACCTTCCTGGAATATGGCCCCTGATTGTACGAAAAATCGCCTTTTTTAGCTTGTTCTCTTTCCATCTCTTATAAAATGTAGGCGTATCTTGCCTGGCAACCGCTGATTTATGTCGGTAAATAACAAAATATTTATAATTGCAGGATCCAATAGCAGAAATCAGAAAAATATCAGATTTTTTACAAGTTAAAAGAAATGAGGAATTAATTCAAGGAATAAGTGATGCGTGTTCCTTCTCTAAAATGCAGACAAGAATGTCTCATGTAGTTGCTGATGAGAATGGAAAATCTAAAATATATAGAAAGGGTAGGTAAACTTACTACGCTCAGTTTTATTTTAAAATCTTCTTATCTCAAGCTTATTGTACATTTTATACATGAAGAGTGGGAAGATATATTTGTGTTACGCAACGTTATCTGGGGTGGTAGCTTTCGCAGCCGTTCATTTTGCTGAAAGAGAGAGAAATGGGGTTTACCAAATATATTACAGAATATTAATAATTACAGAATACGCGCATTGGTATGTGCCAAATGATTTTCGATCAACGTCATTGACTACAACACACAACAACTTTACATGAGCATAAAACACTTTCATGGATATCTAAGGCAATTAAATTAGTATTTTAGCAGTCTTTAGCAGAGGGAGGAAACCGGAGGACCCGGAGAAAACCCACGAGGTTGGATACAGCGCGCACGTGCTAACCATTCGGCCATCCAGCCCCCCCCCCACCCATTTTGCTAGGATTTTGATATTTCTTAGAAATGTTCTTCCATTTATTACTCACCAAACCTATGCCCCCCACCCCCTTTGATGGTTTCCAAATGATTATCTCTATTTGTAGATTAATGTTTTTCTTTGTTACATATTTTGTATATACATCTTTACTGTACTATGGTTGTCATTCCTTGCTTGATGATGAAGACGAGAGAACCCTCGTCGAACACTCGCCAGAAAAAAAATCATTCAACTAACTTGTATTCCATATAATTGTGTCATGTGTTATATTCTTCCCTGTTGCAGGTGAAGTTGGCGACTGGAAAAACTGGTTTACCGTGGCACAAAGTGAATGGTTTGACCGAGTCTATCGTGAGAGAATGTCTGGATCAAAATTAAAATTCAGATATTCTTTAGACGAAGATGCGAAATAAACCAATAAAAACGATATTCACAAGCGTTATTTTAATTGCAGCTAAACAATAATTTGATTGCTGGATTTGAAGCTTTTTAAAGGTCTCTCATAATCGCATTGTTTTGTATTTAGACTCAAATAACTTCCTTGACCAATTACAAAGAAGCGTTAGAATAGATCATAGGATTGGACAATGTTTGTGTTTTTGAAAACAAGAACAAGAATAAAAACAAAGTTCATATGTGTGTTTTATTGATTTCTAAAAGGCCCTTGGCTGTGAAAATAATTTTTGTTAAACAAATGCGATTTACGTATTCGATATATTGTGTTCTCAGATGGTCCACAGCATAATGTTTATCTGAAAATATGAGATAAATTACATTTACGATAAGACATCAACCAATGGTTGTCTTGCTTAAACTCAAATTTCACCACGTCAATTATCACCGAATACTCTATAATGTAAAACTGTTATAAATAACACATGTATTTCTTATACGTGCATAGTCGTATTATTTCTATTATATAACTTTTGTTTATATTTTGTTTACATACAGGGGCGTTGGATGGCCGAATGGTTAGCGCGTGTGCGCAGCTTCATTAGGACTGCCATTGAGGCAATTGGCGTGGTTTCGATTCCCTGTCGTACGTGACAATCAGTAGGGTCGCCAGTCCAACCTCGTGGGTTTTCTCCGATTCTTCCGGTTTTTCTCACACTGCTAAAGACCCCTACTCGCAAACAAAGTACTCTCTCTCTCTCTCTCTCTCTCTCTCTCTCTCTCTCAACATACAACAATTACATCTCCTCCTTTCTTTCGTTGTTATCAATGTAAATACATTATCCACCATTTCTACAGGATAGATTCTTTTAAATATTTTACAATACAACTGTATCAGGTTGACTTCTTTTAAACTGCAAGAGATCAAGAATTAGAAGAACTAATATATAATATTTTTATAAAACATCCCATTGTTCATAACTGAATTCCAGTAGATTAGTGCATATTTGCGAAATGTTCAGTCAGATGAAGAGTACAGACCACTCTGAATCATTGGAAGGAAGGGTGGAGTCCGAGAAGGTGTCCATGATGGCCACCATTCCATGTTGACACATGACATCATTAAATTCCTACATTTATACTTCATGGCCTTTATTTTGTAGCAATATCGTCGTTGCGACATTGTTTTAAATTTATAGACAAGGAATAAAGGAATAAGATGGTTTAAACAACATTTTTATCTTTACAAATTATTCCCTATTGTCAGTATATTAGCTATGGTATAAGTTTATTTTAAACGCAAATTAATTGTTTATGTAATTGTGTGAGAATAACAGGAAAGAGGGTCTGAGTTCAAGTATAGATTGTGCCGAAAAACATGTGATGGAAAATTACGATTGCATAATTTGGCTAGTTTGACCAATCTCTATACTTATTTACATGATATTTGACCAAATAGATAATTGAACGTCCAAAACCCACAGCTACAAAACTATCATACTTGTGAGAATTCGTTGATTCCAGAAGGGAAAAGATGTAGAAGTTTCTATTCAGCAGACTCGCCCCAATAGGGTTTGAGAATGACTTTATTCTATTATGCTTGTATCCATGTAAGCAGCTACATGTATATATCTAAAATGTAAAAGCGAACTGTTGCATTGTTATTCCTGGTAAGACAAACGTCTTAAGAAAACAGTAAGAAGTAAATACACAACGTGAAGCAGAAGTAAAGACAGCTAGAGGCAAATTCTAGACGATCACAAGGCTACAGAAATATGTAGTAAGGAAAGATGCATGGGTCGTATGTAAGATGTGGCGACCGGTCTGACATTACCCCGCTCTCCATGTCAGACAGAAAAGGCCCATGGTGCTACAATTTTAGTCTGTTTTTCCACTTTTGCAAGGCGATTTTTGTTGACTTTTTGGTCCAGAATCGAAGAAAAGGGCCTGGATGTACATATTCTACAATGTTTTAGTCTATATTCAAGAATTCGAGGCGGAGGGATGGTAGTTAAGAGGCTGGTTACGTGTCATGTAAATAAATGTCCAGATAATACTTTATCTAATATTTTAAGCCAGATTGCGGATTTAAATACATGTATCTGTATTTTTAAGATTTTACGGCTGATACATCTTTGATATCCATTGAAGATGGTAATGGTAATACTTTCTTGAAAACAATATCTTCAGTCTGAATTTTTAATATTATATGGCTGACAACAATAATACTCCTATGAAATATGTCTGCGTATAAAGAAAATTATTAATTTCAGTAAAATAAAAATAACAGCGATAACATAATAAAACAAAATAGGGTTAAAATATTATGTATATATATGAATGAATAAAAGAATAAACTTTTTTTTGCTTTTAACTTTTTCTTATCAGGATTTTTTCGCAATTTATAATCAAAAGGGCTGGGGGCAGTCCTAAAGACACATAGACGTGTTGTATAAGACTTAGAACTTTTGCTGATGACTTGAACACTAGACTAAAGAAAGCATATGAAAGTGGATAAAAACAGGGACAGACATACCTATAAATAGATGTATCCTGAATGAAATAAGCAGGATAGAACTTCCGCGTCTATTGGATGATTTCTGGTCTGGATTCCCTATAGCCAGGGCTGGATTAAGATTTCATGAGCTTAGTGCCAGATTTGGACGAAGAGAGGCTCTAGGCTATATCATCTGGCAGGATACCCGGTTTCGCACCTGGTCATGCTCGTTAATTTGATACCACACATTTGGGGGTTGAGCGCGGCGACAAAGTGTGATTCGCCAGGGGCCCAATTCGTCCGGGGCCCAAATTCGATGCTTAAAATATTCACGGGGCCATGGGCTGGTTAATTTGATACCACATATAGGGATGGAGCATGGCGACGAAGCGTGATGGGCGAACATGCACACATACATCTTTGATTTTATTTATACAGATGAGCCCCCCCCCCCCGCCACCCCCAACCTCACTACTAAAGGAAGATAAAAGTCTGTTTTAAACACAGATGAACAAAGTCAATGATGGTGACGGATGTTTACGGCTATAGTGCGTCTAAGAAAAGCTTCTGGCAGCGTCAAAAATGTTATACACCTTAACCGGAGGTCCCACATATCTTGGCTGAAAATGTCACCGGGTCCCTGGCACCAACAGTGGAAAAAGGGTATATTCTGGTCATTGTCTGTCACACTCACACAAATACATTTTGTTTGTCAGAATAGTAGATTGATAGTTATTTGGCACAAAATTCAGCACATGTTACAATTCTTATTTAGATATAAAGGGCCTCTTTAATATTGGACCCCCTGGCTGCAACCTAGTCACTTCCCCCCCCCCCCCTCCTCCCCCCTTTCCTGTGATTATATTTCAATAACACGAAAACATACGCAGTGAAGTGTGTTAACCCTTTAAGATCTATTCTTATTATTTGCTAGTCTTTGTAATTCATCAAACATAATATGTATTACCTGTCTTAGATTGAGTTTGATTGATCAATATCTAAATCTAGATTACTTTATTTAACTTTGACACTTTTCGTATTTGAGATACGTGAGTTTAACCTTATATACTCGTAATAAAACCAATAGAAAGGTGGGCATCTTGGAGTTCAATCAACGTTATATTCATGAAGTGATGAATCGGTAATGAAATTAAAAACAATCTGAATCTGCATCAAACTCATTTTTCTTGTAAGATTTTCTTGCAAAGTCATACAAACTGAAATGGGGACTAAGATATCCATTACAGTTTTAATGTATCTGATTGATACATGTGGGATGTTAAGTATCTGATACATAACATAATATGATGTAACTTAATGTAAACCTAGGGAACGCCATACATGCCTTATGTGGCTATTTCTTGATGGTTATGTAATGACCACACAAATCGTATACAAAATAGATCAAATACAAAGTGACCAAATAAAACACACACTGAAAAGATCAAATAATAAAGTGACCACACAGCACACATAATAAAAAGAGCAAATGATAAAAAGATCAAACAATAAAGTGATCACGTAATAAAACAAAACCATAATAAAGTGACCACATACTAAAAAGCCCACATAATAAAGTAAACACATAATGCCTAAATCAGTCAATGCATTAAAGGCGCTCTATATGAAAGAGAGAGGGGGAAATGGGGTTTAACGTCCACTCGACACAAACTAGGTCATTTCGGGACTAACACATGGTTCAATTTTATTAAAATAATTCGCTTGCGCGTAGGGGTCTTTAGCAGTGGGAGGAAACCGGAGGACCCGGAGAAAACCCACGAGGTTGGACAGGCGACCCTACTCCTTGCCACGTACAACCGGGGATTCGAAACCACGCCAGTTGACTCAATGACAGACTTTATGGAACAGCGCGCACGTGCTAATCATTCAGCCCCCCTCCCCCCGCTCTATATGAAACCTTGATCGACATGTATTAATTTCATCGACGTATAATTAATGCAACATTTGGCCGAGTTTGTTGTATACTGTGATAACAAACAGTGGACATTTCAACAAGTAAGCTATATCATTATAAGTAATTTGTTGCTGTGAAAGGGTGGATAAAATCACGAGAGGCAAGTAATTTTTGTTTTATTATAGTAGTAGCGAGTATCACACTTAAGGCAGCCACCGGGTATGTTTATTCTTTACAACACCTGTTACACTACTTGAAATGAGCGACTTCTACTTTAAATAGAATTTACTGCATCTATGTTAGTGTGTTGTATTGTGTATGTATATGTATTAAAACATGTCTCCATTTAGTTACTTAACGATGTTGGTTGTCGAGATATCCAATGCCCCACTATGTCACTAATTTGTAATTTTCCATGAGTTTTGACGAATGGCGGTTTTAATATCTATACAAATACATTTCATTTTAGTTAGTTCAAGATGTCGGTTATAATTATTATTATTAAACACCAACAACATGTCTTTGTTTTAGTTAGTTCAAGATGTCGGTTGTCGAGATAACCGATGGCGCAGGTAAACACCTCAGATTTGTCGAATTTGATGGCAAACTTTATCCTAAATTTTCAATAGATGTAATTACCAACATGAAATCGTTAAAACTACGTAAAGATGATATTATTATTTCTGCCTACCCTAAATCAGGTAAGTTGTTAATTTATAGTTTTACCGACCTTGGGATGATATACCCATTGGTCCCCACATATGATATAATTGATTTGTTGGCAGTTTCTGCAATTTGAGTAAACTTACTCTGTTGCGAACACAGTGCTCGTGTACAACATTAGTTCACATGCGATACTGAAGAGAAAATGGTGTGTAAAACAAATATAAACCTACTTGCCAAACAGACGAGATGAGAATAAGTCAAAATAAAATGGTGACCTTGGTTCATACTAGTTCATTTGTTTTGGGACTATTTGATTATAAAATGCCGTATATTCGATCTTTTTCGTTAAAGAACGATGCCAACATTGTTGTCACAATATATAAATGTGTATATATTCATATATTCTTGAGGTTAGCGAAAGACTATCACCATCAATTCATATCCTGCCATGGATCGTATATAAAAAATGAAACTGAATTTTCTTCAACGTCCAGTAAATGGGAAAAAATGTAAGACAGGCGATCCTTGACTTAATTATACACCCTTTAAATGGTTTTGGTTTTCCTGTATCGACACAGTCAGCCAAGAATTAAACTAGAATAGGTAAACAAACCCATCCGTTTAATCGTTCGAAACACACTGGATCAACAATCTTTTCTGCACGTAAATCAACTGGCCCCGTGTTCACAAAGCATTCTCAGACTTAATTTGAAAATTTACTCAAACTTGTTTGCATTATTTTAACTAAAATATAGCCCTTTATAAATTTTTTGTTGTTTTTATGTATCAAATATATCAATAAGAAACTATGTGCAAAGTTTTGTGTTTCTGCACCAAAGATATTTCTCATGAACAGTGAATGAAAATTGAGCAAATTCTAAACTTAAGTCTGAGAATGCTTTGTGAACTCGGGGCCAGGTTTATCGCTCATATTGCTGTGTGATAATCTAATCGGGTCGCGGCGACTCAACACATCATATCAACACACCCATGGGGTTTTTAAACTCAAACCAACACGGTTTAATCAGTATCGATGTAGCATTCGGGTGTCAGTGGACAGACTATTGGAATATTTAAATGGCGATCGTCTTTTAATCCGTTTAGATATCCGCCACCCAATGGTCTAGAGAGTTGATTATAGGAATTGCCATGTGAATAAATGTATAAAAAATACTTTATATAACATTTGAAGCCGAAATAAAGACCTGCAATAGGCAAATTTAGCTCTTACATAATGCATCTTTAATCATTAGACCTTGTCCCATAACTAAAAACACTTTTTAAACCTAAATCAACATGCCTTGGCTATTTCTGTTATCGACAATATTTTTGTATTATAAATTAATCAGATAAACTCTATGTATTTGTAGCCTATATCAACTAGACTTGCTGTATCATTCGGGTGTACATGGAGAAACTATTGAATTACGAGTACTTGAGTTAGTTTCAAGAAATGGATCACATTGCCCGTTCATAATTTTTTAAATTGTCAAAACACCTGAAAACAAAATCCAAATCATCCCGTCATATATCTAATGTAGTACTTCTGTGTTCTCTTACGTGATCAAAGCGCAATAACTAGATAAGCTGTTTAACTTTACTGCCGTAAATAATATAATTGTTATTCGTCATTATACACGTGAACAGTCATTGATTATTAGGTTATTCCCCCACGAGTTATTAAAAAAACCACACAGTGACTGTTTAACACAACGATTCTTATGAGGTCACACAGAACATCTTCTGTAAGTCAGGAAAAAAAACGAAATCTTATTACAAGGGTTGGTAGGAACAGTTGGTGTTGTTGGTGACTGGGTAGATGTACCAGATACGGGCCTTTATTATGTAATGGTGGCAGATGTTGAGATAAATTCTAATTCACCCAACTTGGTTGTTAACTTGCCCTTGAGCTTGTTTAGGCAACGCTCGGCATATTTGAAGATTTTCTTTGTTGCCACTGACGGTTGACACCAAAAGCAATGCCACTTTATTGCCCGACACATATGTCTTAAAGAGCAAACCATAAACTGGTCCAAAGCCCCCACATTCCCAACATTTTTCTATTCAGGATTCGAAAGTCAAGCCAGGCATTCTGAGACTATATTTGAACCTTGGCAATGAGTACAACCCTCTAGCCTACAAAATAAAACAAGGGTTATTAGTACCCTTAACTACTTTAAAATCGCCCAGTTAATTAGTCATTAACGTAAGAAAACTAAGTCTGGCAATAATTTCAAACAACTGTTTTGTCTTTTTGTTCGATATGTTTCTTTCAGGTTTGGACTTGCATAGATTGACCCAAAACACATATTATGAAAAAATCGAAAAAATATTGAGATGGCATGGGACAAGAATGGCTTTAACATATGTTCGAGACATTAGTGCAAACTATAATTCCACCAAGTTTCATATTTTTAGGTGTTGATCTACCAGGTTCTATCTGCTCGAAAATACGAGGCAATTTTCGAAAATGTGTTACTGAAACCATATTCGAGGCCAAATTTCTGGGAATCTAGTGAAGACTGGTGCGTTTTCATAAGTGTCTTATAATTTGTAGTTCCTGCACTACAAAATCCAGAAAAAATACAATTACACCAATTTTTTTTCCGGTTTTCGTGGCCTACCACTCACCTGTAATCTGATTGCAGATGCGTAATCTACACAAAAAGTTCTTAAAACTACCACATTTGAGCTGTATATCTTTACTACAAAGGTAAAAACAAGATATCTGAAACTCGAGTAAATTATTGATACATATTTTGTTTCCAAAATTTATCGGTAACTCATGAAACTCAAAAATGCCCGCATCCCACTCAACTTTCAAGCTACAGACCACACGGTTTCTAGTTTTTACATGTACAATAACATAGTTTTTCCCGATTTTTTCGAAGGGGTCATTTCCCAAATTCCGGAAAACTGTTTTAATCAAACATGAACAGGTTGGCTTAAAAACCCCGGCTTTAGCTGGCTTTGGACATGCGCAGTATGCAGTAAGTTACATTCCTGGGAAAATGGCGGTGCCATGCAGTGTCAGTGTATCGAAAGCGTGCAAGAACCGAATAAAGAAGATGAAGCTACCCATGCGTAGTTAACTCTAACCGAAGAGGTCTCAATAGTTAAACTGGTTTGGCTAATAGTACGTCTGAACGCAACACGATGCTGTTTTAAAAATCCCGGCAATTTTTAACTGGTTTAAAAACAAGCGTGTAGCGTGTAGCACTCGCTTTAACCGCGTTCACATCTCGCTTTTGTCGACACTAAAGACTTATATATGACCGCGACGATAACCTATTCCACGCGTCGCCTATTGTCGAGCATGCTGTCTCGCAACGCGAACCTTTACCTAATATTTAGTGTAGATGCCGAGCTGGTGAAGACTAGTTCGATGATGTTCACTTCACTAAAATATTCACATGAGTATGACACCGCTATTTAGTCCCTTTTCAGCCTACCGTTCCATACGCGCTTGAAAACCCATGATATGTAAGAAACACGATACTGCAAACAATAACAACTATTTATTCACTGTCACATAATATCACACAAAAGTTCACAGCTTGCAGGTCACATTTTATACATTCATAGATAATCAAATGTCCAACATAGCGTCTGCGGTAGAAAACAGTACGCTGTCCCTAGCTCACATCACACACTGACAGCTTCACTTGCACATGTTCTCAACATCCGCTCGGTTGCTAAGCAATTGACTCGTTTTACTAGACACTACGTACTATTCTACCTGATGCTAATTAGACTCGATTAAACGCTCATTTAACCTAATATTTTGCATGTATGCACTGACACATTATATTGCCATATATAGATTTTTAACATTACATTTAGTTCTTGTCGAGCCATCTGTCGCCAGGAATGTTTGCGGATATTCACGCAAATTTTTTGTTTTATATATTCCTGCTGAAGTCCATCTACAAGGAAATTAATTAATTGCCTGTCAAATTCCGGCTATCCTGCATAACCTGCAAAGCCTTCAGCGGATAATAATAAATTCTTTCAGCAAAAACTTGTACATTTTCCTCAGGGTTTTGTCGGATCTTTCTCAATATCGCCAACGCTTGTTGTGTATCAGTAATTTCCGAATACGTATTAAGAAAGACAGGACTATCAATTGAGCACTGTAAAATTCCCCAGTCTTCGTTTCAGATAGAATTTAGCGAAAACCAATAAAGAGATACTCACAGAATGGCTAAAACTATCTGTTCTGGATACGGCACCACGTATAACTGTAGTACTTCTGGATTTCTGACTTCAACTTCGACGTTGTGTTCTCCCCCGTGATAAAAACTGCTATCACAGTTCAGGTTCTTTTTCTAAATTTATTTTTTAAGCGGATTAGAAGCAATTGTTAATCACAAATCTTGCTCACTCTCAAAGAAGTACAGACGTTTTATGATGACTGTTATGACAGGCTGTGTGAGTTCAGCTAAATCCCATCCTGCACATAGCCCATTCTATGTATCAACATATAACTCATTTTAGTTTGCTTACGTGAGATATGAATATGGAACCAAAAACCGGTCAAGGACATAATATGGTCGCAAGGACAATATTATTACACTAAGTGTGGTTTCATGCACGAGTCGGGACATGCCCCTAGAACAGGTAATACCATTTCTCTTTTGAGGAGTTCACAGATTGATATTTTTTTTATTTTCAGGAACACATTGGTTGTTTGAAATATGTCGAATGTTGCTGGCAGGTCGAACTGATTTACAAGCCATTTCTAAATCTGAGTTCTTTATTGAAAAAGTGGGACAGGACGTTTTAGATCAAGCCAAATCCCCTCGTATTCTGAACAGTCATGTTGCTTTTAGTGACTTACCAACTGATCTGGCTGTGAAGAAACCCAAGATAATCTATATTAGAAGAAACCCGAAGGATCTTGCCGTCTCGTTCTACAACCATTGTTATAAGATACCACTTTTTGACTATAAAGGAGAATTCAAGGATTTTATTGAATTATTTATCAACGGAACAGGTACGAATATTTTTTAAATAAACATACTATCTCATAATTATCAAAAGGGAAAGTGGTGTCACACTATTAGTTTAGAACAGCGTTGTAAATATGCACTTTATTTACACCGGGAGCAATAACAATATAAATATATAAGCTCACATAACTGCAAGCCGATACCATATGGGCATTGCTTTTCGTATTTATCAAATATAGAAACGTATCATACTGTGGTCTTATTAACGACACATTGTTGGCGTAGATGACCCACATCTAGGATAAAGTTTAAAATGCTAATGTCTTTATAGGTTATCTGATAAAGTAACAAATAGTTAATAACATACAAGCGTATACCTTTAAAGATACATACTTTATACCACTTAATATTACTAATAAGTGATCGGTGTGATGGCTGACAAACATCTATATCGGAAAATAATACAAATTGCTATTTTTAGAACGTCACTGTTGAAGTCCAAACGAAATTTGCAAACATTCCTAAGTTAAATATATTGAATACAAAAAAAGAAATCCAGATTAAGATACTGGAAAATGATTATATTGCTCCTTGTCTGGAACAAATCAAATGTTACTTTTGGACATAATCTTAATACAACAATTTCAGCACTAGGTAGTAACAGACTATCAAGTTAGAATATTATTAGATTTAAGAGTTTTATTTTGTTTACAGTTGAGTACAATTGTTGGTATAAACAGGTTTTAGATTGGGAGAAAGTCATTGATAACAACACGGAGTATTCTATATTACATTTAACATATGAAGATCTTAAAGCGGTAATATGCAATTCTTATTTTATAAAGCATATTACGTTAACATCACTCAGCCTCGGTTGGAGCAGAATAGTAGAATGTTAAACCCCACTTCATTTCTCAACCAAACTTTCTATCATGAATATCCACTTTATGCAAGCCCCACCCCACCCTTATCGACCTTTAAAATATTAAGTATGCAGCATTAAATGTTTGTATCAAGCAATAGTTTCGTATAATTCTGATCAAATTATGTCCATGTTCTGATGCACTAATTCCAATGATTTTCTTTTAACTAATAGTTAGTTGACCAATGAGTAGGTATACAGTGCTCCGTTGGTGGGAAGTTGTGTAAAGTTCTATGCGAATTTAAATTTAAAGACCCAGGCGTATATAAATACACCAACATTGTTTTATACGTATATTGTCGTCGCCCTTGTCTGGACGTCCGTTCACAATTTGTTTGTGGACACTTCACAGGTCACCATTCTTATCCGATTTTGACGAAACTTGAAATATAGGTTTATCTCTAACAGATCTCAGACCCTGTCGATACTGGCATGTATCCGATCGACACTTCATGAATTATGACCCTTAATTGCCCGAAAACGCACGTTTTTTGCATGTGGACACTCTAGAGGTCACACTGTTCATCTGATTTTGATGAAACTGGGAGTGCATGATTATAAACCAAAGATCTTGGTTCCTGTCGATATTGCGTATGTCGGATCGTAACTTCCTGAATTGTGGCCCCTGATTGTACTATAAATCGCGTTTTTAGCTTGTGGTCCCTCTAGAGGTCACAATTATTATCCGATGTAAAAAAAAAGTTCGATATATCACCGTTACACCGTAATCCTGTTTAAGTTCGTATGCAAACAATGTAAACATATGGTATATCAAGGTTGTGGACAATTGTTATCCGATTATGATGAACCTTGAAATGTATGATTATAATCCAAACATCTTGGTTCCTTTCGATATTTGCGCATATCGGATAGTATCTTTCTAAATTATAACCCTTGATTGTACGAAAAATTGCTTTTTAAGCTTGGGGTCCCTCTAGAGGTCACAGTTTTTATTCGAATTTAAACTGCCCAACAAAATGGCCACCAAGGTTATGGACCCTCTAGAAGTCACATCCGATTTTTATCCGATTTTGATGAAACTTTTAGACCATACCTTCCTGGAATATGGTCCCTGATTGTACGAAAAATCGCCTTTTTTAGCTTGTTCTCTATCCATCTCTTATAAAATGTGGGCGTATCCTGCCTGGCAACCGCTGATTGATGTGGGTAATTAACATAATATTTATAATTGCAGGATCCAATAGCAGAAATCAGAAAAATATCAGATTTTTTACAAGTTAAAAAAAATGAGGAATTAATTCAAGGAATATGTGATGCGTGTTCCTTCGCTAAAATGCAGACAAGAATGTCTCATGTATTTCCTGATGAGAATGGAAAATCTAAAATATACAGAAAGGGTAGGTAGACTTACTACTCTCAGTTTTATTTTAAAATCTTCTTATCGCAAGCTTAAATGAAATGAAATGAAATGGGGTTTAACGTCCTACTGTTCTGCTCCTAAACTGGGCTAATGAAAACGGGCATACGCCATACAGTGTGCAATGGGGGAAATTTTGCCCGGGCAGCGGCACTACGGCCTACTCTTATATCGAATTTCAACTGCCAAGGGATCTTTTACGTGCACGCCAATGTGTACACGGGACCTCGGTTTTTCGTCCCATCCGAACGACTAGACAGCTGTCTATATATCTTTACTGTACTATGGTTGTCACTTCTTGCTTGATGATAAAGACGAGAGAACCCTCATCGAAACCTCGCCAGAAATAAATCGTTCAAGTAACTTGTATTCCATATAATTGTGTCATGTGTTATTTTCTTTCATATTACAGGTGAAGTTGGTGATTGGAAAAACTGGTTTACCGTGGCACAAAGTGAATGGTTTGACCGAGTCTATCGTGAGAGAATGTCTGGATCAAAATTAAAATTCAGATATTCTTTAGACGAAGATGCGAAATAAACCACTAATAAACGATATTCACAAGCGATATTTTAATTGCAGCTAAACAATAATTTGATTGTTGGATTTGAAGCTTTTTAAAGGTCTCTCATAATCGCATTGTTTTGTATTTAGACTCAAATAACTTCCTTGACCGATTACAAAGAAGTGTTAGAATAGATCGTAGGATCGGTTAATGTTTTTGTTTTTGAAAACAAGAACAAGAATAAAAACAAAGTTCATATGTGTGTTTTATTGATTTCTAAAAGGCCCTTGGCTGTGCAAAATAATTTTTGTTAAACAAATGCGATTTACGTATTCGATATATTGTATCTACAAATGGTCCAGAGCATAATGTTTATCTGAAAATATGAGATAAATTACATTTACGATAAGAAATCAACCATTGGTTGTCTTGCTTAAACTCAGATCTCACCGCACCAAGTTGATGTGTATCACAGAATAATCTATAATGTAAAACTGTTATAAATAACACACGTATGTCTTATACGTGCATAGTCGTGTTATTTCTATTTTATAAATTTTGTTTATATTTTGTTTACATATGGGGGGTGGGGGGTTAATGGCCGAATGGTTAGCGCGTGCGTGCTGCATCATTAGGACTATCTTTGAGTCAACTGGCGTGGTTTCGATTTCCGGTTGTATGTGACAATGAGTAGGGTCGCCAGTCCAACCTCGTGGGTTTTCTCCGATTCTTCCGGTTTCCTCCCACTGCTAAAGACCCCTACACGCAAACGAAGTACCCCACCCCCTTCTCTCTCTCTCTCTCTTGTATACATACAACAATTACATCTCCTCCTTTCTTTCGTTGTTATCAATGTAAGTATATTATCCACCATTTCTACAGGATAGATTCTTTTAAATATTTTACAATATAACTGCATCAGGTTGACTTCTTTTAAACTGCAAGAGATACAAGAATTGTAAGAACTGATATATAATATCTTTATAAAACATCCCAATGTTCACAACTGAATTTCAGTAGATTAGTTCATATTTGCGAAATGTTCAGTCAGATAAAGAGTGCAGACCACTCTGAATCATTGGAAGGAAGGGTGGAGTCCGAGAAGGTGTCCATGATGGCCACCATTTCATATTGACACAGGACATCATTAAATTCCTACATTTATACTTCATGGCCTATATTTTATAGCAATATCGTCATTGCGACATTGTTTTAAATTTATAGACAAGGAATAGAGGAATAAGATGGTTTAAACAACATTTTTATCTTTACAAATTATTCTCTATTGACAGTATATTAGCTATGGTATGAGTTTATTTTAAACGCAAATTAATTGTTTATGTAATTGTGTGAGAATACCAGGAAAGAGGGTCTGAGTTTAAGGATAGATTGTGCCGAAAAACATGTGATGGAAAATTACGATTGCATCATTTGGCTTGTTTGACCAATCTATATACTTAGTTACATGATATTTGACCAATTAGATAATTGAACGTCCAAAACCCACAGCTACAAAACTATCATACTTGTGAGAATTCGTTAGACAGCAGCTTGATTCCAGAAGGGAAAAGATGTAGAAGTTTCTATTCAGCAGACTCGCCCAAATTGAGTCTGGCTGGCTAGGGTTTGAGAATGACTTTATTCCATTATGCTTGTATCCATGTAAGCAGCTACATGTATATATCTATAATGTAAAAGCGAACTGTTGCATTGTTATTCATGGTAAGACAAACGTCTTAAGAAAACAGTAAGAAGTAAATACACAATGTGAAGCAGAAGTTAAGACAGCTAGAGGCAAATTCTAGACGATCACAAGGCTACAGAAATATGTAGTAAAGAAAGATGCATGGGTCGTATGTAAGATGTGGCGACCGGTCTGACATTACCCCGCTCTCCATGTAAGAAAGAAAAGGCCCATGGTGCTACAATTTTAGTCTGTTTTTCCACTTTTGCAAGACGATTTTTGTTGACTTTTTGGTCCAGAATCGAAGAAAAGGGCCTGGATGTACATTTTCTACAAGGTTTTAGTCTATATTCAAGAATTCGAGGCGGAGGGATGGTAGTTAAGAGGCTGGTTACGTGTCATGTAAATAAATGTCCAGATAATACTTTATCTAATATTTTAAGCCAGATTGCGGATTTAAATACATGTATCTGTATTTTTAAGATTTTACGGCTGATACATCTTTGATATCCATTGAAGATGGTAATGGTAATACTTTTTTGAAAACAATATCTTCAGTCTGAATTTTTAATATTATATAGTTGGTATATGGCTGACAATAATAATACTCCTATGAAATATGTCTGCGTATAAAGAAAATTATTAATTTCAGTAAAATAAAAATAACAGCGATAACATAATAAAACAAAATAGGGTTAAAATATTATGTATATATATGAATGAATAAAAGAATAAACTTTTTTTTGCTTTTAACGTTTTCTTATCAGGATTTTTTCGCAATTTATAATCAAAAGGGCTGGGGGCAGTCCTAAAGACACATAGACGTGTTGTATAAGACTTAGAACTTTTGCTGATGACTTGAACACTAGACTAAAGAAAGCATATGAAAGTGGATAAAAACAGGGACAGACATACCTATAAATAGATGTATCCTGAATGAAATAAGCAGGATAGAACTTCCGCGTCTATTGGATGATTTCTGGTCTGGATTCCCTATAGCCAGGGCTGGATTAAGATTTCATGAGCTTAGTGCCAGATTTGGACGAAGAGAGGCTCTAGGCTATATCATCTGGCAGGATACCCGGTTTCGCACCTGGTCATGCTCGTTAATTTGATACCACACATTTGGGGGTTGAGCGCGGCGACAAAGTGTGATTCGCCAGGGGCCCAATTCGTCCGGGGCCCAAATTCGATGCTTAAAATATTCACGGGGCCATGGGCTGGTTAATTTGATACCACATATAGGGATGGAGCATGGCGACGAAGCGTGATGGGCGAACATGCACACATACATCTTTGATTTTATTTATACAGATGAGCCCCGCCACCCCCCCGCCACCCCCAACCTCACTACTAAAGGAAGATAAAAGTCTGTTTTAAACACAGATGAACAAAGTCAATGATGGTGACGGATGTTTACGGCTATAGTGCGTCTAAGAAAAGCTTCTGGCAGCGTCAAAAATGTTATACACCTTAACCGGAGGTCCCACATATCTTGGCTGAAAATGTCACCGGGTCCCTGGCACCAACAGTGGAAAAAGGGTATATTCTGGTCATTGTCTGTCACACTCACACAAATACATTTTGTTTGTCAGAATAGTAGATTGATAGTTATTTGGCACAAAATTCAGCACATGTTACAATTCTTATTTAGATATAAAGGGCCTCTTTAATATTGGACCCCCTGGCTGCAACCTAGTCACTTCCCCCCCCCCTCCTCCCCCCTTTCCTGTGATTATATTTCAATAACACGAAAACATACGCAGTGAAGTGTGTTAACCCTTTAAGATCTATTCTTATTATTTGCTAGTCTTTGTAATTCATCAAACATAATATGTATTACCTGTCTTAGATTGAGTTTGATTGATCAATATCTAAATCTAGATTACTTTATTTAACTTTGACACTTTTCGTATTTGAGATACGTGAGTTTAACCTTATATACTCGTAATAAAACCAATAGAAAGGTGGGCATCTTGGAGTTCAATCAACGTTATATTCATGAAGTGATGAATCGGGAATGAAATTAAAAACAATCTGAATCTGCATCCAACTCATTTTTCTTGTAAGATTTTCTTGCAAAGTCATACAAACTGAAATGGGGACTAAGATATCCATTACAGTTTTAATGTATCTGATTGATACATGTGGGATGTTGAGTATCTGATACATAACATAATATGATGTAACTTAATGTAAACCTAGGGAACGCCATACATGCCTTATGTGGCTATTTCTTGATGGTTATGTAATGACCACACAAATCGTATACAAAATAGATCAAATACAAAGTGACCAAATAAAACACACACTGAAAAGATCAAATAATAAAGTGACCACACAGCACACATAATAAAAAGAGCAAATGATAAAAAGATCAAACAATAAAGTGATCACGTAATAAAACAAAACCATAATAAAGTGACCACATACTAAAAAGCCCACATAATAAAGTAAACACATAATGCCTAAATCAGTCAATGCATTAAAGGCGCTCTATATGAAAGAGAGAGGGGGAAATGGGGTTTAACGTCCACTCGACACAAACTAGGTCATTTCGGGACTAACACATGGTTCAATTTTATTTCAATAATTCGCTTGCGCGTAGGGGTCTTTAGCAGTGGGAGGAAACCGGAGGACCCGGAGAAAACCAACGAGGTTGGACAGGCGACCCTACTCCTTGCCACGTACAACCGGGGATTCGAAACCACGCCATTTGACTCAATGACAGACTTTATGGTACAGCGCGCACGTGCTAATCATTCAGCCCCCCCCCCCCGCTCTATATGAAACCTTGATCGACATGTATTAATTTCATCGACGTATAAATAGTGCAACATTTGGTTGAGTTTGTTGTATACTGTGATAACAAACAGTGGACATTTCAACAAGTAAGCTATATCATTATAAGTAATTTGTTGCTGTGAAAGGGTGGATAAAATCACGAGAGGCAAGTAATTTTTGTTTTATTATAGTAGTAGCGAGTATCACACTTAAGGCAGCCACCGGGTATGTTTATTCTTTACAACACCTGTTACACTACTTGAAATGAGCGACTTCTACTTTAAATAGCATTTACTGCATCTATGTTAGTGTGTTGTATTGTGTATGTATATGTATTAAAACATGTCTCCATTTAGTTACTTAACGATGTTGGTTGTCGAGATATCCAATGCCCCACTATGTCACTAATTTTTAATTTTGCATGTAATGAGTTTTCACGAATGGCGGTTTTAATATCTATACAAATACATTTCATTTTAGATAGTTCAAGATGTCGGTTATAATTATTATTATTAAACACCAACAACATGTCTTTGTTTTAGTTAGTTCAAGATGTCGGTTGTCGAGATAACCGATGGCGCAGGTAAACATCTCAGATTTGTCGAATTTGATGGCAAACTTTATCCTAAATTTTCAATAGATGTAATTACCAACATGAAATCGTTAAAACTACGTGAAGATGATATCATTATTTCTGCCTACCCTAAATCAGGTAAGTTGTTAATTTATAGTTTTACCGACCTTGGGATGATATACCCATTGGTCCCCACATATGATATAATTGATTTGTTAGCAGTTTCTGCAATTTGAGTAAACTTACTACTCTGTTGCGAACTCAGTGCTCGTGTACAACATTAGTCCACATGCGATACTGAAGAGAAAATGGTAAAAGTTGTTTACTGAAATTCATGTCGGTGTGTAGTACAAATATAAACCTACTTGCCTGCAGCCTTTGGTTAATTCACACATCGGTCCTTATATTGGGCTATGTTTAATTCATGCTACATATCTTCTCAAGGTGGTCTAATTTTTAGAGGAAATGAGATAAGATCTAGCCGGTTTGTTATTACTTTTTAGCGAGTTAATTTGAGTACGAGTAGAACCCCTTTCTTTTGTTTTCTTCGAATAAAATGACAGAAATGTTTTCTAAAATGACGAACAACCCAACGAAAATTTGGCGGAAGAGTTAAGATCGGCCAAACAGACGAGATGAGAATAAGTCAAAATAAAATGGTGACCTTGGTTCATACTAGTTCATTTGTTTTGGGACTATTTGATTATAAAATGCCGTATATTCGATCTTTTTCGTTAAAGAACGATGCCAACATTGTTGTCACAAGATATAAATGTGTATATATTCATATATTCTTGAGGTTAGCGAAAGACTATCACCATCAATTCATATCCTGCCATGGATCGTATATAAAAAATGAAACTGAATTTTCTTCAACGTCCAGTAAATGGGCAAAAATGTAAGACAGGCGATCCTTGACTTAATTATACACCCTTTAAATGGTTTGGGTTTTCCTGTATCGACACAGTCAGCCAAGAATTAAACAAACAAACCCATCCGTTTAATCGTTCGAAACACACTGGATCAACAATCTTTTCTGCACGTAATTTATCGGTAATATTGCTGTGTCATAATCTAATCGGGTCGCGGCGACTCAACACATCAAATCAACACACCCATGGGGTTTTTAAACTCAAACCAACACGGTTTAATCAGTATCGATGTAGCATTCGGGTGTCAGTGGACAGACTATTGGAATATTTAAATGGCGATCGTCTTTTAATCCGTTTAGATATCCGCCACCCAATGGTCTAGAGAGTTGATTATAGGAATTGCCATGTGAATAAATGTATAAAAAATACTTTATATAACATTTGAAGCCGAAATAAAGACCTGCAATAGGCAAATTTAGCTCTTACATAATGCATCTTTAATCATTAGACCTTGTCCCATAACTTAAAACACTTTTTAAACCTAAATCAACATGACTTGGCTATTTCTGTTATCGACAATATTTTTGTATTATAAATTAATCAGATAAACTCTATGTATTTGTAGCCTATATCAACTAGACTTGCTGTATCATTCGGGTGTACATGGAGAAACTATTGAATTACGAGTACTTGAGTTAGTTTCAAGAAATGGATCACATTGCCCGTTCAGTAGATCAGAACCAACATATTTTAACACTGTTCATAATTTTTTAAATTGTCAAAACACCTGAAAACAAAATCCAAATCATCCCGTCATATATCTAATGTAGTACTTCTGTGTTCTCTTACGTGCTCAAAGCGCAATAACTAGATAAGCTGTTAAACTTTACTGCCGTAAATAATATAATTGTTATTCGTCATTATACACTTGAACAGTCATTGATTATTAGGTTATTCCCCCACGAGTTATTAAAAAAACCACACAGTGACTGTTTAACACAACGATTCTTATGAGGTCACACAGAACATCTTCTGTAAGTCAGGAAAAAAAAGAAATCTTATTACAAGTGTTGGTAGGAACAGTTGGTGTTGTTGGTGACTGGGTAGATGTACCAGATACGGGCCTTTATTATGTAATGGTGGCAGATGTTGAGATAAATTCTAATTCACCCAACTTGGTTGTTAACTTGCCCTTGAGCTTGTTTAGGCAACGCTCGGCATTTTTGAAGATTTTCTTTGTTGCCACGGACGGTTGACACCAAAAGCAATGTCACTTTATTGCCCGACACATATGTCTTAAAGAGCAAACCATAAACTGGTCCAAAGCCCCCACATTCCCAACATTTTTCTATTCAGGATTCGGAAGTCAAGCCAGGCATTCTGAGACTATATTTG